AGCCCTGCAGCCAGAACCCCAAACCAGAAACCCTAAGCCCCAAACCCTAAACCCTAACTATTAAAGCCCTATAGCCCGAACCTTCGACTGAAACCCCAAGTATAGAAGCTTTGTACTGAGTCGTCCTTAAGGTAGCCCTCCAAGAAAAGCAACCCTTACAGATGCCTTATATTAAATGAGCCCTTCTTGATGCCGTAAAGGAATCCGTATGTGCAGCAACCCTGAAGCGAACGAACCCTTACGGATCCCTTGAGGGGAACCCTCAAGGGAAGCTTCACAAATTTCTTTCAGGGGATTCTAGTATCCCCTTAACGAACCCTTAAAGATCCCTTACTAAACAGAGAACCCTTATCGTAGCACTTGAACGAAGCCTTGTAGATCCCTTGAAGGGAATTTTGACAATATACGTAAACTAAGCTTATACAGTAGAAGCCAACAAGTTGGAAACCCAACAGCCTCAATCCTAAAGAGGAATGTATAGGGAATCCCAGCACTCTTTGGCCTTAACCCGGTTTCCAACTTTATGAGATTCACTATAAACAGAACCCCTAAGGATTATAGTAACCCTAAGCCCTAAACCCTTACCCTGCATTGCGGGCTTTGTCCTTGCTAGGTAGGAGGGAAAAAAACCTTAAACCCTTAAAGAGAACCCCTAAGGATGAAGGGCCAAGAGGGTTCCCAGAAGCACCCAGGCTGGGCGAGTGCACCGTCAGGCAGCTTGGGCGGAGGGGTAGGAGGAGTTAGGATTTCAGGGCTCCATAACGAGTACGACGAGGGTTACTATAAGGGATACTTTCGGGTTTAGGTTTAGGAGCTAAGGTTTAGGGTTCAGGCTTGGGATTGAGGGCTCAGGGGCTTAGGCTTGCGGAGTTGGGAGTTGGAGGGTGCAGGGTCTCAAGATTCAGGTGCATTTGGGGTTCATTATCTCAGGCCGGGGGGCCGGGCCCCTTGATGCAACTGGGTTGAAAGATTCAAGGCTAAGGCCAAAAGTTTCGGCAGTTTTGCATTTAATCTCTCATTGAGAGGTCAGGTCCGCCCAACATTATCCCCAAATAGTACGATCGGGACCATAAATAAACGCAAAACTAAGTGTCCGAACGCCCCACTCATGCCTTCGCAATGGCGTAGGCCCGGGAAACCTGCTGAAAATCGTAAACCCCAACTACCGAATCGTGAACCTCGTTTGGCGGGTCTGAGAGTGTCAATACCCTACTGCTCTCAAGTCCAAATAGAAGTTCTTAGCCGGAAATGCACATAGTATCCCTTAGAGTAACCACTGCAAAGTTGGAAATCCTTCGAAGAACCCATTACACAACCCTAACACCCTAAACCCGAAGCGCAAGAAACCCCAAACCCTAGTACCCCCAGGCTCCGTGTGGATCATGCCAAGCCCGGCCACTTTTCCGAGCAGATGGCCTGGGTGGAACCTCAGAAGCACGTGCTCTTGACGAACGTACGCGTGCGTACGTAGTTATGCATACGTACATACCTACCTACGCACGTACGTACATATCTACATACACACATATATATATATATATATGTGTGTGTGTATATATATATAGTTAGAGATATACATACATGTGCGTGTTTCACTTTCGACTTTGAAGAGTCTCTTGTCGACAACAGACCAAGTAACAGCACTGCGACTAATCCAGCCCCTGAAGACTGGTCTGATCCGAGGTAGTATGAGGGAGGCCCTTAAAGGGACCCTTTCTTAAGCCTACTTCTATGTCCGCCATGGTAACCCTAATCCTGACTCCTATCTGAGACTAAGAAGCTCAAAACGACGTTTCTCCAGGAGCTTGCGACTTGATCCTGTGAAATCGATGTCGGCTCTTTACGGATTTGGGGTTCGGGGTGTGCTGTGTTGGGATTTGGAAATTTAGGGTTTAGGCTTGAGCTTGAGAATATGCACGCGGGACAGAGGAAACCAGGCACAATCACAAGCTTTGACGGCTCCACATCCGTCACTTAAAGCAAGCCGTTTGGTGACCGAGGAGTACTCTGCCTCCAAGCCTGGCGAGGACTTGGCCCCATGTGTTTTGGAGTTTCATGGATCCTACATAGGTTTGGGTTTCAGGGTGCTGGTGTAAGACTTGATTTTGGGGGGCTAAGTATAAATGCGCCTGCGAAACAGATTGAACGTGAACAGCTTCAGTCCGGGCGTGAAACCGGATACCCAGAGCGCTGACGGTTACCCAAAGTTTAGGGACATGTTTTTTTCGTTTACGGGTTAGGGGGTTTCGGGCGGCGAGTTCGCGCCTTTGGTCTGACGGCGGCAACCGGAATCGGAACCTGCGGTGTACTACAAAACCCTATTCTTTTTTGCTAAGGCCCCTATATTACCAGGTTATCCTTCTTAACAGTCTGAGACATATGCTCGGCAAGAAGATCCTCTCAACCCCGGTGCTTCGGAAGCCCACTACCTAGTAAAGAAGCCTAGGCTGATCGGGCTTCGCTGCTGAAGGTTTACCCCGAAGTCTGATTTCAGGGGGCCCGAAGAAGAGTGTTATCAATTCTTTGCTGAATTCTGCGCTAGCCCAAAGACGTGAGTTCGAATCTTCGTGAGTTGCGAAGCTTTGAGTCTCATGTGCGCAAATCCAAGGCATAAGCCTTGAACCCAAGATCTGACTTAAGGGTTTCTGGGGTCTATTTTAGGGAGTTTCCGAAAATTGGGGGGGTACCTGATTTGGGGGTCCTTTTAATAAGGATCCTACTATTTAGGGTACTAGATGATTAGGGTTTCCTATTTTCGGAAACTCCCGTTTCTTTGCATCAACAGGACAACGTGCACCGCAGCCCCTGTAGGGCTTTGGGGTTTTGGATTTAGGGTTTGGACCAACACCTGTCGAAGCATGCATGAAAGAGCGAGAGTCGAGTGGCTCTTGGCGGCAAAATCCCCGCCGCTGGTGGATATTTGTTGGTTTGCCTATGGGCATGTTTGCACACAGACGGCGCGAGCCCGAGAATATTAGCGGTGCACGACGGGGTACTGGGTACTGGCGTGGTGACGACAACAGCCTCGTGACAGCTCCATCGCCATCACCCGCATCAGTGCAGTCACAAGCCATCTCAGTATCGCCAACAACCCCATGGACATCGCACCATCACCAGTGTCGTCGTCATCGTCGCGGTCATCACCATGCCCATCAGCAGGTTCACGTTCGCAGGCATATCAACACCAGCAACAATACAGTAGCCTAGTAAGCAGCTCTGAACTCTGAAAATTGATATGACTAGTAGGTTTGCATTCACACAGGCTTCGCGCTGGGCGGCGTAAACCCCACAAGTGCCCTGTCTACAGCCCACACGTATCCAGATCGCCAGGCGGCGAGAGTCGAACCCATTTCACACGAAGGATGTGTAAACGTGTAGAGTTCTTAGGGCCCAGGTAGTTTTGGACTTTGGAACCCAAAGCCGAAGATCCCTTCATTAAGGAGTATATGGCTTAAATCATAATATGAAGCCCCGACTAATTGAAGGCATATTCCTTAATGAAGGGGTATTGGGCTCTCTGAGAAACTTACTTCATGCGAGCCTGCTGTTGCCAAGCTGCGATGCTATGATATTCCCGGCTGGGTCATGCTGTGTCGTGCTGTATTCTGGGCAGTGTGAATATGTAGGTATGTTATTCCTTACGGTTATTTCCCATATCTATAGTCTGGAAACTATTCTCAAGAAGAGTCTGGCCCTTGAACCTGCAATCCTTGCTTGGGCAGTGTCATGGGCCCTACCTGCAGTCCACAATACCAACTTCGTAAGGAAACATGTAGGAAAATCACAGCAAAAGCAACTAAACACGGTGCGAGGTAGAACCTAAACCCCAAACCGTGGGTGCAGGTTCCAGGGCTATGATGCCCAAAACCCTAAGCTTTAAGGGTTTATTTGGGCCCCTTAAGACTGCACAGAGGCCTGGCTGCAAAAAGGGTTTAGCGGCCTGCACCAATCAAGCCTGTGTAAAAAACTGTAGTTTCCTTAGGAATTCTTTTACTTTTGTTCATATAAAACCCAAGAGAATAGTAAACATGTTATTTGACCCTAAACCCTAAACCCTATGGTTCTCTAAGGGGGGTATATAATAGAAAAAGGGTGACTAGCAACGAAGAGCGGAGCTCCAGGAGCCATTGCCCTTCGACTTGGGCCGCAACGAGTGGGGCTGCCCGAGGACACCCAGAGAGGGTTTCGTTTTTTTGGGGGGGTTGGGGGGGAAGGGGTAGGGTTTAGGGTTTAGGCCTTGGGGTTGAATATGGGGTCGGACTAGTTACTCTTAGCAGTATAACAATTACGCCCCTCCGCTGGATTCTGCAAGTTTAGCTCGGTGCCACCAGGCCGTTACAGGCCGGCGCCTTTGCCACGACCAGCCCGCAACCTATTCAGAAGCATGGCGTCCCTTAGGGTGTAGGTTTGTCCTCGAGTCGTTGAATAATGTCAGTCCGTTCGTCGTTCGATGGTAGCTGCCTCACGACAGCCTGATGCTTCGGATTAAACAGTGAATCTTGAAGTACAGAATACTCCTCAGCTGGAGACCCCAAATCCAAAACCCGACACATTCAACCGTAATTCCTGAGCCTTCGTAGGCTCAAGGTGCAGTGCAGAAAGGTGAGGGGAGGAGAAGGGCGGTCAACTACAAAACACCGACCCCTTCCGTTTGGCGGTTGCAGGCCTCTTGCGGTTTTTGCTACTCCTTTGTCGACCAGGGATGCTGCATGTCTCGTCGCTCTCCGCGGAGACGTACTCTGTGCCAGTCGAGGATTGCCGCGATGCGAGGGCGTTGAAGGCCTACTTGAGTTGTAGCTGTGGCTTTCCTCCTCGCTTCCAGCAGCGACTGCTTCTTGAAGGCAGTGAACTGGGAGATAGCAGATTGCTGGAAGCATCGATGGAGCTTAACCTACTTCTGCTTCCTTTGAGCTCCACTCACAAAGACGAGCTTTTCGCTGCCAGCCGCCTTGGATCTGCATCCCAGGTCGAGACCCTGCTACAGATCCCCCAGGACCCGAATGCAGCTTTGTGGGCATTCCAGGCTGCCTTTGCACATGGCATCCGCTGACGGGAATGTTGACATCGTGCGCTTGTTGCTGGAGGCTCGTGCTCGCACGGACTTGGTCGACGGTCACCGTTTCACCGCGCTGATGTATGCATCCAACAACGGCCACGCCGGTGTCGTAGAGTTGCTCTTGCAGGCATCGAGCAGAGGAAACGCTGAAGTGGTGCAGTTGCTACTTGCTGCCCCCTTGCAAAAGGCATCCGCTAACGGGAATGCCAACATTGTGCGCTTGTTGCTGGAGGCTCGTGCTGGCACAGACTTGGTCGATGCTTGCGGTGACACGGCGTTGATGCGTGCATCCAGCAGAGGCCATGCCAGCGTCGTGAAGTTGCTTCTGCAGGCTGGTGCAGACGCAAGCATTGCGAACTGTCTCAGCGGCTACACATCTCTCATGCTCGCATCCAGCGGCGACCATGCTGAGGTGGTAGAGATGCTCCTTGATGCCCACACCATCGAATACTCCGAGCCAGCGCTAAGAGGCAAACTTGTTGGACGATTCTGGAAGCACAGTCCTTGACCGCTCAGATTGAAACCGGAGGGCTGTCAAAAGCCTTCGGGAATATTGTTATGGCCTTTCTTGAGGTTGACGTGGAGAAGTGTTTTCTTATCGGCAGCAGTTGCCACTTATCCTGCCAGCAGCAAACACTTGCGCGACCAGATGGAAAAGGCATTCCCGTCGACGAGCAATTATGGGTGCAACTTGGGATTGGAACTTGCTGCCGAAGCCGCACAGGTTGAAATTCATGATTTAGCCATGGCGAGCCGCGACATGCCACGAGCAAAACAGAGTAAGAAGTGCGCTTACTGCCTTTGCGGACGAATAGACAAACTGTGTTTCATGATCATTGTAAATATAGTGTAGGGGCCTCAATAATTAGAATAGGGTTTAGGGGTATATTAAAACAGATACATTCAAATCCCTACTCTAATCATTTAGGGGCCACTGGCGTAACTTCTCTAAGGTCGTTAGTTGGCTGGTCTCAGGTCGACTGGTTGGAGTACCGGCTTGGCGCAGTGACGGGGGTGCTGTGTTCAAGAGCTGCTTTTAGCGGTTTGTACTTGCCGACTGCATCCGACTACGAAGCAAGATCGCTCATCTGGCGAGTCCCGAGTGTGAGAGCATAGGCATAGACCCTGAAAGCCCCAAGCTGTAATTCTTCGACAGCCTGGCCTCCTTTCAGGAATCCGGCGTGCGACCACTTCCCTGACTTCCTTCTGCTGCCACAGGTCGGCGAGACACTAAAATAAAACTCCTACCAAAGGGAGCTAAAGTCAACCCAGCTGCAGTCTCCGTTTCCTCAGATCACTTAGGATCACGTCTAGAGTCTAGAATTCAGTTAAGTCCCTACATGTCCTTACTTTACCTGATTGTATTGAACGGGGTCCTGGTATACTTTACGCCATGCTCCACCTTGGTGGTACTCGGCCTGTAGAAAGAACCACCGGTCGCTCACAAAGTCGGGTTTGGGGTTTCATGCCATGTGGCTTTGTGTGGACTCACGCAGTCGAGCCGTTGCCAACTCGGCCGACTACCCAGCAGGCTAGTTCATTGCAGATGTCACCGTCAACAGACTGCGATGGTAATGGGCTTTGTAATTGCGTCCGACAGGACCCCTTCAGCATACGAGAGACAGAGACACAGAGAGGGGGAGAGCGAGCGGCTTGTCTTCCCAGAACCCAACCTTTAACCTCCCCTAAGCCATTAAACCCCTATAGCCCTATAAACCCTAAAGCCCTTAACCCTCAACCACATGCCTTGCCTACCCTCAATCCTAAACACCCTAATATACGGGCCTCAATAATTACCAACACTATTTTGGGGGGGTTCCTTGTTACACTTATAGTGTAATTAAGTAAAGATTGGTTTGTACTTCTTGTGGTCTAGTGGTGCCAGTCCTCCCCCTTTTTAGTGAAGCTGGTTGTGATTTTGCTTATTGGTTCAGGAGTGGAATTGGGTTTAATGACATGGAAAGTAGTGCTTCGTCGCTCGTAGTCTACTCAATACCTGCAGAGCGGGGTCCGACGCCCGCTGACAAGTGCGAGCCAAAAAGAAATGGGCCCCAAAACCTCATTCTAATTATTAAGGCACCTATACTAAACCACCATAATACCCCTTATAGCTATCCTTATAGACCCCTTGAAAAGCAACCCGCAACCCTTGAAAGGAACCCTATTCTCATTATTAAGGCCCCTATATTAAACCATCCTAAGCCACATCCCAAAGCCACCGAAGCGGAGGCATCGCTCGAGCATCATCTGTGACGGGGCTGAGGGACGGCAACGAGAAGAACACAGCACTGGTGAGGGCTGGCCCTAAATCCTAAAACCCTAAACCTAGACCCATCTAGTTCGGGTTTAGGGTGTAGGGGTTTAGGGTTTAGGGTTTCTAAATCCAACCCTAAAGCCTTAAACCCTGGACCAATATAGTTCGTGTTTTAGGGTTGCAAATCTAGGGTTGGAGACTGGGGCAAGGGTTCGGGGTGGAGAGTAGGTTTCGGTTATTTACGAAAAAATCCGCGGTCGTGCAAGGAAGTCAGCTAAGCCGAAAGAAGTCTTATGGAGATGAGTCTCACCTGGCTGGGACAGAACCGCTCGTCGATGAAACGGGCTTATTGACACAAGCACCAAAACCACCGACGTCGCCCGAAAAGAACTCTCATCCCGAGGGTTGCACTGTGAGCTGCTATGTTTTGCACTGTAATTTGCAGGGTACCGATCAGGCATGCATCCTCGCATCAAAGGACTCGGCACCCTGTAGATGGCATGCAAACTTGTGTTATTGGGACGGGGTGGCCCAGGCAAAACAAGGAGGGCGCGGTGGTGACGGTGGAAGTGCGTGCGCCTGGCACCCGGAGCCAAACGACAGCGGTGATAGTGGGGCTGTAAGCTGTAAGGATTTTCGAGGAGGAATAGTCTTTGATGCATCTCGAATCTTCGCTTCGTTTGACACATGTTCAGTCATATTTGCGCTCCTGGCTGATGAGAGTGAGAAGGATAGCAGACTTCTATCGTCCCCACAGATAGCTTGAGTAGCTTTCAGAGGTGAGTTGCTGATTCCGCGCCTACACGTTGTCCACATTTACGGTGCCATGTCATAAAGGCCTTTCACACCATAGAACGGGTACGCAATCTTTCAGGAGGCTTTTTTCGGAACCCCCCCGAAGGGACCTTCCAGGAACTCCAGCTCCTTTCAATCAGTCGTGCCCTCTTACCCGGCTGTCCTGCTCTGTTTCCAAAACCCGGCTCGTTAGTAATTACTTGCGAGGTATCCACCCTTAAACCCGCGATCCGAAATCCCAACGCATAACCTCCGAAGCCCTATAGACCCTACACCCCGAGCCCTAAACCCGCACAGCCTGGCATTCAAGTTGCGCCATGGAGGCGAGACACCGTGAAGGAGCTGAAGTCCAAGGCTTTCTCCCGGATGTTTTTGTGAGCGGTTTAGGGTTTAGGGCACGGAGTTTGGGGCTTGAGGCTTTAGGGCTGTTTTTGGTGAACTGGCAGCTGGAAGCTGGCAACCGCAGATGCTGCAGGCACTTTGATGGCCCGAGATGAAAAGGGCACTTCAGGGGAAGTGCGTTGTGGGCTACCATAATTGGTAGCGGAGCTACGGCTCCTTAGGTTTTGCGTCGTCAGGGAACGACCGTCCGGCTGCCATGGAAGGTGGCCACTCCATGAGGTACTTCAGTGGCGATGACGGGGATCATCGCGAGTACCGCCGCTGGAAACAGTGGGTGCAGAGCAAGATGCTTACGATGGATAAGCTGAGCAAGGAGGCTCGCGGTGCCTTCGTCTTCACTCTGTTGCAGGGTCGAGCTTTGGAGGTAGTGGAACACCTCAAGGCTGAGGACTACCAGAAGGAGGGCGGCGACCAAGTCTTGTTCGGACTTCTGGACAAGAGATGGCCGCAGAAGGACCGAGCAGACGAGCTCGGCGAGCACGTGTCGGAAGTTTTTCTTCTTTCTGCGAAGGATGGAGAATCCATCCGAGCGTGGAGCGCTCGTGCTCAAGAGGTCTTCGACAGGTGCAAGCGGAAGACCGAGGTGAGCTTCCCGGAGGAAGCGCGAGGATGGATCACCCTCCACCGGAGTGGTCTGTCGGAGGAACAGCGAGCTGTGGTGATGGCTCGCTGCAGTGGGTCCTTGAAGTTTGATGATGTCGCCCAAGCGATGCGGTCCTGCTATCCGGAATACATTGTGCCGAAGCGGCGAGTGAACGCCGCCCACTACTTGGAAGACGAGGGCGAGGCCTGGTACCAGGATGGCTACAACCAGGCTGACTATGGCGAGCCCGAGCACAATCAGGATGAGCCGGAGGTGGCGTTTGGTGATGTGGAGTTGTTTTTGGCGGAACATGATCTCTACGAGGCTCCGGATGAGCTGGAGATTTTTCCTGAAAAGGAGGTTGCGGAAGTGCTGGCTGCGACCTGGAAGGAGAAGCGAGCGGAGCTCGCCAAGCTCCAGAAGAGCCGGCGATTCTCACAGATGAAGGACGTCAAGCGCTCGTTTCGTGTCGAGGTCGAGGAACTGAAGAAGAAGACGCAGTGCCACAGGTGCGGCCGCACCGGGCACTGGGCAAGAGAGTGCCGGATGCCCAAGACCACTGCGGCTTCAGGTGCCGGAGCGGCATCGTCGTCGGCCTCTGGCCCATCGGGCGCTGGACTGGTTCAGATGGACCGCCCGGACTTTATCTGCGTGGTGACTACGGCCACCCCGGATGGTGATGGCCGGCCGTCCATGCTGGAGCGGATCCGGGAGCGGATGGATGGATACAGTGATGCGCTGTGTCTGATTTCCTCGCCTGGCTATGCGGTGCTGGACTCTGGGTGTGGAAGGAGCGTGATCGGTGTTGAGACATTGGCTCAGTTCCAGAGCCTGTGGCGACAGGCCGGCATCCGGCCCGCGACTGAGGTGTCGGAGCAGAACAGCTTCCGATTTGGCAACGGGCACCTCGAGGTGTCCAACCGAGTTGTGGAGATGCCACTGTACCTGGCAGGCAAGCAAGGCTTCGTGCGTGCAGCTGTGATCAAGGGGAAAGCTCCCCTGTTGCTATCCAGGCCTGCCTTGAAGAAGCTCCAGGCCCAGGTCGACTTCGCCCGTGACGAGATGGTCCTGTTCCAGGAGGGCTTGCGGATCCCGCTGAAGGTCAATGAGGCCGGGCAGTATGTGATTCCGGTGCTGGACAAGGAGCCGGAGCAGCCCGCCGTGATCTTGCCTCCTGAGGACCCTGTGCCTCGTGATGTTCCATCGAGCCGCTCGGTCTTGATAGCCGAAGAAGTTCAGGACTTTTGGGAAACCCAAGGGTCGCAGGTGGTTCGTGTTCACCGAAGTGCTCGCAACAGTTTGTTTCAACCTGATGAAGCACCAGATTGCCCTGTACCCCTAGAACAGTTGAATCCGCAGAGAGTGACCCAGGGAAACTGCGCAGATGGTAGCCCCATTAGCTTTCAAGATGACTGGAAGAAGGCACCTTTGCAAGGGTGTCTCCCGCCCTGGACTGGGCGCACTGTGTTTGAGGTGTGCCGGCCGCCCACGGTGCCGGCAGAGCAGCCAGTGGCCCTAAGCCAATGGTCCCGGCGCCAGCAGCGCCAGCTTCGGAATCTGATTCGGAATGAGCCCGTGCCCCCAGTACCTACGAAAAGCCGGATGCACATAGTTGAGCTGTTTAGCCCTCCTAGGATCGCTGGAATAGCCGTGACTAAGGGGTTTAATTGCTTGACTGCTGATCGTGCCACGGGCTGGGATTTCCGTTGCACTGCCGACCGGCAGAAGCTGCTCGACCTTGTGCGTGAACATCGGCCGGACCTCTTGGTGATCGGTACCCCGTGTACTTGGGTAGGTGGTTGGTATGACTTAGATAGTCCCCACCTTAGCGCACCCCAGAAGGCCGAGAGGGATAGATGGTTGAAGCTTATGCTAGGGTTTGCGGCCGATGTGGCGCAGATACAGCTTGCAGCTGGCGGTCACCTTGTTTTCGAGCAGATGGCAGCGCCTATGTTCTGGCAAACACCGAAATTAGCTAAACTGCGCAATGATATGTTCTCCATCAGCGTTCCCTTGTGTTCGTATGGGATGACTACCCCGGATGGTGTGCCTCTGCAGAAGGACCTCCGCCTGCTGGTGTCACATGCACACATGCGCTCCTTGCGTCGCGCTTGCCAGGGTCATGATAAGCATTGTTGCCCAGCTGGCCCTCATACCTCGCTAGCAAAGTATGCCATGCAATATCCACCTAGCTTGGTTCGAGCCCTGTTGCGAATGGTTAAACCCTTGGCCCGCACAGAAGCGCTCCTGGTTCAGGCACAGCCTGACAAGGAATGTCTTGTTGCAGCGCGTGTGCAGGAATTGAACGAGCAGAAGCGTGAGCAAATGATGAAGTCGCTGTTGCGTTTGCATGTGAACTTGGGGCACCCGTCGTGCTCTAATCTTGCAAGGGTGCTCAAGCATGGTGGCGCAAGCCAAACGGCAATCGATCTGGCCCGAGAGGTTGTGTGCGATGTGTGCCGAGCACAGAAACCGCCAGTGCCTCCTCCCCCGGCTCAAACGAACCGGGCAACACATTTCAATCAACGTGTCGGCTTGGATGTCAAGTATCTCCCAGGATGGCAACCTAACCAGAAAATCCCATGCTTGAACATCGTGGACTTCGCGAGCAGTTATCAGATAATGGTTCCTTTAGAGGGACGAGCCACCGGAGAATCGCTTAGACAAGCATTGCAAGAGCGGTGGATCACATGGGCTGGAGTTCCCGAAGAAATCATTGTTGATCCTGATCAAGCGAATCTTAGTGCTGCCCTGACCGTGCCGCAAGAGCTGGCCGGGACACATGTGTCTTCGACCGCTGCCGAAGCCCATTGGCAGCTGGGGAAAGTTGAGGTGCATGGTGGGTGGTTTAGCCGGGTTCTTGAGAAGGTTCTGGCCGAAGCCATGCCACATGATCGGGGCACATGGCTTGAGTGTGTCTTCGCTGCCCATTGCAAGAATGAGTTGATTCAAGTCTATGGTATGACCCCTGCCCAATATGTGTTTGGACGCAACCCTCGTGTGCCAACAGATTTGTTGGATGAGCCATTGCAGGTGATTCCGGCGACCGCGTCGCTTCATGAAGAGAGCCTGGCCCGTCGCGTGGCCGTGCGACAGGCAGCCCGCAAAGCTGTCATAGAACTCCAGGATGATAAGGCTCTTAGGCTTGGGTTGCAGGCTCGTACCCGCACGGTGAAGGCTTATGCCCCAGGTGCCAGAATCGCTTATTGGCGTACACAGAAGTCTCATGAAGGTGTGATTGAACGTGGTGGCCGTTGGTATGGCCCCGCAATCGTGTTGGGTTATGTCGGTCGAAACCTGGTGGTGATACACAAGAAGCAGATCTTCCGATGTGCACCTGAACAGGTGCGTCCCTCCACGACGGAGGAAGAAGCGATTGTCGATACACCAGGCATGGAACTCTTGGGGATTAAGCAGATGTTGGAATCCGGCCGTTTGTCTTCCAAACAGTATGTAGATCTGTTGCCTGACGGACAGCCGCCCGTAGCTTCTGAAGAGACAAGAGCAGCCCCAGCGCCTCAGGTGGCGCCAGCTGAGGCACCAGCCTCACCGGCTGCTGCAGAAGCCGCCATGCCAGACACGCCTCAGCAGGCGTTTCGAGAGCATCCCGAGGCCCGTGCCGATGCTCCGGGAAGCGCTTCTGCCGTCCCGTATCCTAGTGTCCCTAATCCTGAACCCCAGACCTCTGAGTATGGTCCTGTGCGAACTCGAGTTCGAGGAAAGTCGTCTGTAGAAACCCTTCTTCGGCCCCAGGCGATGTTGCAGGATGATTTCGCGGACATGATGCAAGAGGTGGTTCCCAGGTTGATGACTCAGGCACTTCAGCAGGTTGAGAGTAGTGGTAGTGCAAGCTCTGCCCAATCCTCTGGGGATGTCACCGCTCCGCATGCTCGAGGTCACAAGCGTGAAGCTTCAGCCGAGCCTGCTGGCCCTAGTGGCAAGCGTGCTGCTAGTGAGTTGGTGGCCGCAGGGCTGGAGGATGTGAACTTAGAAGAGCAGCTGTTGTGTGAGTGGCAAGCAGCAGAGTCTACTACGGCGGAAGTGCTAGTCGCTGCGCATGTAAACAAGCGTAGTGCTAAAGAAATTCCGGCCACGAACAATCCTCCAGAACTTCAGATGCAAGTAGACGAAGCAAAGCTGACAGAGTGGAATACTTTGCTAGGGCGTTCCGCTACTCGTTTGGTCCTTGGGCAAGAAGCGCGGGAAGTCAAGGAGAAGTTTCAGGATCGTATCATGGGTAGCAGGTACGTTGTTACTTGGAAGGAGGAAGAGGATCAACCGGTGCGAGTGAAGGCCCGTTGGTGCCTCCAAGGGCATTTGGATCCGGATCTGCAGGCGAAAGCCCTTGCAGGTGACCTTCAGAGTCCCACCCTGTCGCAGTTGGGACGTGCCCTGCTTTTCCAGACGATTGCCTCTAAGAAGTGGGTCCTCATGCTAGGAGATGTCAAGGGGGCGTTCCTGTCGTCAGGGGCTATGCCTGAGCGCTATCGGCCGTTGTACGCTCGTCTGCCTGCGGGCGGAATACCGGGTGTGCCCTCGGATGCGCTTATAGAAGTCCTAGGTCGGGTTTATGGCCTGAATGACTCCCCTAGTGCCTGGAGTAAGACCTTGAATCAAGCCCTGTTGGATGTTGGTTTTGAGAGATCACGGCTAGATCCTTGCTTGTATTTCATGCGTGAAGCTGGTCAACTCACTGGCGTGTTTGGAGTGCATGTAGATGACAATGCCACCGGAGGTGAAGGACCTAAGTACCAGGCTGCGATGGAAGCCTTGAAGAAACGCTTCGAGTTTCGCAAGTGGCGTCTCTACAATGGCGACTTCTGTGGTGCAAATTACAATCAGGATCGAGACACGGGTGAGATTACCATGTCCCAGGAAGCCTTTGTAACCAAGCTTAGGCCCCTAAGGTTTAGTCGCGCCCGCACCCTAGACAAAGATGCTGAGCTCACCCCTGACGAGATCAAGTGTTTCCGTGCAATTAACGGTAGCTTGAATTGGTTGGCAACCCAATCGCGCCCCGATTTATCTACTCAGGTGTCGTTTGCACAACAGTCCTTTCCGAAACCGAAGGTGTCTGACGCTTTGGCTGCCAATCAGGCAATTCGCCGTGCCAAACAGCATGCGTCAATGCCTATTGTGTACCGTTCCGTACCACTGGAACAGTTGACTGTGATGGTGCATTCGGATGCTGCGTATGCTAATGGCCGAGAAGGGGCCACGCAAGCCGGCTATCTCCTGAGTTTCACGGAGAAGAGCATGCACGATGCATATGTCACTGCCTGGACCCCAGCCTTCTGGCGTGGCTATCGGTTACCCCGGGTTGTAAACTCCACCCTTAGTGCCGAAGCACAAGCAATGGTCATGGCCACCGGAATGGCCGAATGGGCCCTTCTCCTGCTCAGTGAGTGTCTTGACGGTCGCACCTTTCTGCAGTCCATGTGGGATACCGCAAGCAAGCGCCAATCTCTAGTTGTCACCGATTGCAAGAGTTTGTTTGATCATGTTCAGTCACAATCAGCTCCCACATTGGATGACCGCCGTACTGCCCTAGATATCATCATTCTTCGAGAAAGTCTCAGCAAGACCCAAGGCTCCTTACGATGGGTTCCAACAACTTTCATGCTTGCAGATTCCCTTACGAAGGAGAGCCCAGAGGCCTTTGACTTGCTGAGAGGATGCCTCCGCCAAGGCTTCTATCAGATTTGCCCAGAGTCTGTGGTGCTACAGACCAGAGCTGACGAACGTGCCCGCCGACAAGTGTTGTCCAAAACCAAAGAGTCGTCAGCTGCCAAGTCTGAACCGAAGCCTAAGGTTTAGTGTAGGATAGGACCCAACTCCTGCACTGAACTGGGGTTTAGATGCACTCGTTAGTAAATGGGTTACTGTGCAGTGCCGTGTTTTCATGGAACAATCTGGTGATCAGAGAATGTACAGATGCAGCATTGCCGTGCCACTTTCAGCCTGATCGAGTGACTCCGTGTCACAACTTGCGTGCAAGTGTGTTTGTGCCTCGCTTCCGGCAATCGGCCCTCGTGCGCACCATGGCTAATTCCAAGCCGGCGATGATTTCCGCAGCGCCCGGAAGTCCGGTGTCTCTGGCCGCCCAGCGATGGGGATGGTTGGAGCAAGGACTGCCTAAGGTGGAGCACGATGAGTGCAAGCGCTTGATGGTGAAGGCGATCATGGCCGGCGAGAGCGAGAAGATCATGGTCGATGCCTTGGCCGAGTTCCGCGCCCTGCGAAGCCGTCTCCAGCTAAATGGCGAGTGGAACCAAGTGCTCACCTTCTACGGCCGCGGACCGGGCCCCGAGACCCGCAAGCGTGCTGGAGAAATCCAGTGCAGCCGCGCGATGATGGAACAGAGCATGGATGAGGAGCCGAGCGAGGGATGGGCCAAGGTCAACTTGGACGACGATGGTGTGGAGTCGGAGGACTTTGACGCGTTGTTCGCGTCGCCTCCGCCGTCGCCTTTCGACGAGGTTCCGGTGAATGACATGCCCGGCACCAACCGCAAGCAGAAGGCCGTGCCCAAGTCTACGACGGCAGGTCTTCCGCCGGACATTACCAGCCTCTCCGAGTGGGGCCGCACCCTCATCCAGTTCGGCAAGTACCGCATGTCGAACATGACCTACGAGGAGTTGGCGTTGTCGGACAACAAGGATACGAATTCCTACAAGGTTTGGGTGGTCAGCCACATCGGCCAGACGACTGGCCAATGCCAAGATTTGGGACAGTTCCTCAAGGCTTATACCGCCGCGGGCTACAGTCCCAAGCCCACCGTGATCCCCGGAACCACGCAAGTGCGCAAGTTCAAGCAGAGCTCCTCTGCCTCTTCGTCTGGCTCCAAGCACAACGGCCCTACCACGCCCCGGACGAAGTGATCATCAAGTTCGCCTACCTCCACACTCCTGACTGCTTTGAGTTGTGTAAATATGCCACTGATGTCCTGTCAATGACTTTTCATCTCTTAACTTTTGAACAAGTAAGGATTTTATAGGAGTGTTTTTGGTGAACTGGCAGCTGGAAGCTGGCAACCGCAGATGCTGCAGGCACTTTGATGGCCCGAGATGAAAAGGGCACTTCAGGGGAAGTGCGTTGTGGGCTACCATAAGGGCTCAGGGTTTGGAGTTTTGAGGTTTAGGGTTTTTGGGTTTGGTTTTGGTGCGCCGTAAACATGGCGTTCAGCTTGACCAAAAGGCCGCAAGAAAGCATCTGCAGCATAAAGACCCTAAGCCCTAGAATTCCGTGTCTTTCTGATTTACCTCAAGCCTCTCTTCCTCCCCCTCTCTCTTTCTCACATACGCACACACACACACACACTCTCTCTCTCCCCTCTCGCTCTCGCTCTCTCTCTGTCTCACCTTTTTCCTGACATGCCCCAAATCAACAGAACAAACCTTGAAGACTGAGAGATGGTCACTTTCGGAGCCAGCCGGGGGCCTGCCCAACGAGTTACATCCGTGGCTTCTGACTTTCTCTACATGGGCCCCGGGTCATCTTGAAGTTGTTCTTGCGCTTCGTTCACGAGCTTCCTGAGTTGATTTTTGTTGTTAGGGTTTAGGGTTTAGTGATGCTTCCTGAGTTTCTTGTTGGTGTTGGCGTTGTTCTAGTTGTTTCTGGTGATGGGTGTGGTGAGATGGTGGTATTGTTGCTTTACTACGAAACTAAGTAGTCAGTACATAGTACATAGTCGTTGTAGTCGTCGTCGTCGTAGTAGTAGTAGTAGCAGCAGCAGCAGTAGTAGTCGTCGTCGTCATCGTCGTAGTCGTAGTAGTGGTACTGGTAGTAGTCGCAGTAGTCGTCGTCATGTTATTCTTTCCTGTGATTAAAATCAGCACGTACCAGCAGATGCTTTTTGCTTTTTACAGTAGAACATGTGTGCGGTTTTCGCCATTTGTAGCCGAGTTGAGCCAGCCCTTGTTTGACGCACGGGCGAAGGCTTACCACCAGCTCTCGGTGTGGAATCGATTCACGAATCCCGATGCAGTGGACGAGGCCAATGCAAGAAACTGCGGCGGGGCCTGGGGGTCGGTAGGAAAACAAAGAGTGACAACCAGAAGAGTTTCTTTGACAGGCAAAATTCACTTGGATGCCTGCCAAGGAGTTGAACCATTACCTTTCTATGCAACGAGAAAGAATGTCGTTACATGAGTTGGCTGTTCACCATGCACCGAGAGATTCCAATATCACTGAATAGTGGGTCCCTTATTATTCCGGATCTCCACAACAGTTTTTCCATACTTCAGAATAGACAAATACATAGTGATCTACGTGTTTATTTTCACAATGAATATGAATATATATATATATATATATATAGATATACATATACATATATGCATTCGGTTTCCAAGCTCTGGGTCTTCGTAAGCCAAGTCCAAGTTTGCAGGACTCAGCCGGGCTTCCACCCATGAGCTCCTGCAGGCAGGTCGACTGATGCACTTTGGGCGCGAGGTGTTTTGGTTTGCATGCTCTGAACAAAGCGACGGAACCCCAGAGGGGTCTAGGAACCCAAGTAGTAGCGCCAAGATTCAGACCATAGCATGTGGGACTTAATGGGACTTAATTACAGCCCTACTATTCTTGCACTTGGACCCTTAGGACTATACAGCTTCGACCTCAGCCCCACCTTGTGCAGAAGCAAAGGCGTGATGTGGATCCTTTCTCTCTTGCACCTGCTCCTGAAGCCTATGCATCCAGCCCCCAACATTGCAAGAACAGTGCCAGGAAGTTGACTACTTGGAGATTCGCAGGTAGTTAAAAGCTAAAAAAGGGGCGACAAGTGCCCTAATATGGGTTAAAGTATGGTTACACTACTTATAACCCTACTGATAACTACCCATGAAGCTTCAAGTACTCTACGTCCCCTTCAAGACACCGACACGCAGCACTCTAAGCGCCGCAATCCGAACCCGATAGGGTTTCGAACTCGCTTGCCTACTTTAGAGTTTAGGTTTTAGGGTTTAGGGTTTAGGGTTTAGGGTTTAGGGTTCGGGTGCTAGGGTTTATTTGGGGTTTAGGGTTCCGTGAACAAGACGGTCTTGTAGTCTCGTGTTCCTCTGCGAAGCATTGAAGGCTTCTTCGTTCATCTTCGTTTCGACTCAGCCTACCAAACCCTGACCCCCCTTAACCCGATAATCCCTAGGCCACCAACCTAAACTAACCAAGAGACTTATCAGCCCTTAGCCCCAAATGTGTTTTGCGCAAGAGAAGTTGAATCTCTCTAAGCACAGGCTCGCGCGCAAGAAAGGAGAAGCGAAAAAGGTTCTGGACGATCGCAAGAGGCTTTGCCAGTGTGCCTGGGCAGCAGGGCTTCTGGTTTAATGTAGATGTTTCAGAACTGTCATATGGTCGCAGGGTACATGGTAGCAAGACTAGATACTGTAAGAACTATTTTCAGACAAAGTGCTAAAATAGTTCTGCCAGCCGGTTGAGGTTTGAGTACCAAGGCAAATCAGGCTCTAAGATCCAAAAGCACGGAAAGTCCGCTGAACTTACTCGGTTCACAGGGTTGATAGTGTGTAGTATAGTATGCTTATAGTTCTCGTGGTTGCTTTTTAGTGACGGCGCTTTGAAAAATTGTGTTGGGGTGTCTGGAGGCGTTGTGGGTGTTTTGCTTCTGATAGAGAGATGGCATGTATGACGGCTACTAATACGAGTTTACTGTAGTTCTTGTCTTAGACTGACCCTAAAACCTGAACCTTAACCGTTATAACGACCCTGAAGCTAAGGCGGCTTGGCCGACGGGGAAGAACTTCAGCTTCTGGCAGCCCCTTGGACACAAGAGACCTCGCTTCCAGAAGTCAGGATCTACAGTAATCACCATTTCAGTTTCTGCGTCTGCTAGAATGTTCATAAGCGCCTAGCCTAGCTACGCGCAGGATTGATGGGCGATCACGATTCGATTTGGGCTCCTGGAACTGTACGACCATTGTCTGCTCAAGCATGTTGGCCCACCCCTCCCCCTCGCCTCCCGGCAAAAAAATCTTCAGCGCCAGGAACCGACAGTGTCTGAAAGAACTGTTTTGAGCGATGCTTACTTGGAGGTTCATGGGTAGTTATAAGTAGTGTTAGAAGTCCCCTAATACGGGTTATAAGTATAGTTATCCTACCTATAAACCGACTTATAACTACCCATGAACCTCCAAGTACAGGGAGGAGAACTGCACCGGGTTTCGCAACCTTGCTGCAGCTTCTTTGGGTATTCGGAAGCCCCCCGGTCTGAGTCACTACTGTAAACCCTACTTGGAGGTTCATGGGTAGTTACAAGTAGGGTTATAGGTAGGGTTACTATAACTACTTATAACCATTTATAACCCGTATTAGGGGACTTATAATCCCAGTTATAACTGCCCATGAACCTCCAAGTAAACTGTAAACAACAAAGACGTACTGCTCAAGGACGTCCGATCATGACACACACACACGCGCACATACATCTGAGTCCCCCAAGCGCACCATGCCTCATAGAACCCCTTCTGGAAACCCTCCGCAACCCCACGGCTTGGGCTACTTTGATGAGCCTTACAGGAGGGTTTGGGGATTCGGGTTTAGGATTTAGGTCTCAGGGATTCCACCCTCTATGAAACCCTGACTTCGTAATGCCATAAACTCCCAACCGCAGTAGGCAGTTGGCCTGCCCCATGAAGGCACCCTCCCCCCAGTACCTACCGTTGACCAACGGCTGGTAACCCACCCTGTTTGATAAAGTAGTGTAGGGAACCTTTAACCTTTTTTGGGTAGTATAGTCCCTATGTAATCCCTGTATACCTTAAAACAGGTTAACCTTTAGTTCCCCATGATACCCGACAAGGAGGGTTTTAGGGGCAAGGGGATCTTGATAGTCGCTTCATCGACGAAGGCGGGCCTGTTAACCAACCAGGGGTGCCCTAAACCCTGGACCCTATACTCGGTTTAGGGTTTAGGGTTGGGTTTAGGGTGTAGGGTTTAGGGTTTAGTTTAGGGTTTAGGCCCTATACCCTAAACCTCAGGCTCCGGATGCGAGATCACGGGCGGCAGAGGCCCAAACTCCTTCGCGCGAAGGCCTCGAGGGGGATGGACGCAAGCCTATGCGGGTGGTTGTCAAAATTATGGTCCCTTTTTGGTTCCTTATTAGAATACGGCACCGAATATTTAGGGTACCCAAAAAGGGGCCATAATTTGGACAACCACCCATGTGTTGATGAGACTAGGAGTTCGCAGGGGCCCGACAAGAATCTTAGGGACTCGGGCCAATTATGAAGATCCTGTTTTCAGGGCTTTAGAGCTTTTACATAGCAGGGTCAGCGCCCTCGAGAAGTAAGTTGCCATGGAATCGGAATGTCAGCCAGTCTTAACAGAGGACTCTCCTGCGGTCGGCCGTGGGCCCTCGAAACCTAGGGTCTAGGGTTATAGGGTTTAGACCTTAGGGTTTTGGTTTAGGGTTAGTTTAAGGTTTAGACCTTAGGGTTTTGGTTTAGGGTTCGTTTAGGGTTTAGACCTTAGGGTTTTGGTTTAGGGTTAGTTTAGGGTGTAGGGTATCATGCATCCCACAACCGAGAGCCGAATCAACTTTACTTCCACTCCCGGGCATGTGCGCGCTTAGGCGTATGGTGGCTGTTGAGTTCAAGGGGTAGGTACTTCAGAGACCCGCATTATGACATCTAACATGTAATATAGAATATATGCCCTGCCAATCTAAAGTATACTGAGGCTACGGACTCCAGCACAAAATCCGTGGGTGTCGTGTTAGCAGGTCCTCATAATCAAGATCTTTGCTCGATCTGGGATTGTTTTTTTGAATCCCATATGGGTGGTTGTCAAAATTATGGTCCGTCCCTATTATAATACGGCACCTCATATGTTTTGTACCCCAAAAGAGACCCTAATTTTGACAACCACCCATATTCTGTCGGATCCGCAGGAGAGACGGACATACCAGAAGTAGCCTCGGTCGAAGTGTGCCTCGGCTCGATGACAAGCAGGATGTGGGGATTTGGTTTTTAGACTTTAGGTTTAAATCGGTTTAGGGCTTAGGGTTTAAAGTTGAGGTTTACGGTTTCAGAATTGAGACGAAGGGCTGCTGAGTTTTTACCCCACATGTGAGAGAGTTTGGGTGCGGGTCGATGGTGACTTTGCTGTGGCTTGGCCGTGGTTGCCGTTGCCTCGAGGTTTACACAGGGTTTCAGAGAGCTGGGGGGGGGGACGTGGAGCATTCCAGCTTCTTGAAAAGCTGCTGTTTCGAAGAGCTAAGCCGTCATGGCGAACCCCTGGAGGCTATGTGAGCTTCCGATCATTAGGGGTACCTTCTTTTTTGGGGGTCCTGATAATAAGGATCCTACTATTGATTTAGGGTATTACATTAGGGTCCCTTATTTTCGGAAACTCCAATATGGTGCGGCAATTACTTCCCGGAATCTTCTGAACCCCTGTCACCGCTGCATTCAAATGGGAGTTTCCGAAAACAGGGGACCCTAATGTAGTACCTAAATAGTAGGATCCTTATTATAAGGACCCCAAAATAAGGTACCCCTAACCCAAGGTGTACATCATTCTCGACACCAGCCCCCTTTGAGCCCGCTGTTTGGAGGGTTTCGGAGCAGGTGTCAGGTTTGAAGCTTAAAGGGATTTAAAACGTGTTTCATGATCCTGATGGTCCAAGCAAGCAAGCCTAAACCCTAAACTCTACCTTGTAAATCCTGGATCCTGAACCGTTCAACTTAAAGCCAAGAACCCTCAACTCTGCAACACCAAAGCAACAGCATTCGGGAGGGCCTGCAGATGAACAGCTAGGTTCTAGCTTATTCTGCCCGCCCCCGGGTGAAAAATTGCACCAGGCCATCTTTTGGTACGAGATGTCTTGGAAGCAGAGGTATTCTGCAGATTTGCAGGCTTCTGTAGGGTTCCATAGACCCGGTAGCTAAAGAATAACCCTTCAGCTCGTTGGATTAAAGGTGCATCGCTTATCTTAGCCATTTTCCCTACAGAAGCCCATCTAGTCCAAAGTCGTATGAAGCACCGTGGGCCCGTACGCTGCCCCCCACGAAGTCAGGCTGCCAACCGTGCGACTCAACTTGCCACTTGGAGAGCCGGCAAGTGTAGGGTTTAGGGTTCTAGGAGACCAACCCTAAACCCTAAACCCCTTAATTAAGGAATATACCATAAATCATTAGGGGTTTTATATTATGACTTAAGCTATATTCCTTAATTGAGGGATATTGGGCTCTCTGGGTATACCCTAAACTCTAATTGACGAGCCTTCTCTGCCGAATCAGCGGATCAGGGACAGGCAGGGAGAGCGAGGGAGGGAGAGCTGCAAAGAATCGTGGTCTACGGCTCTATTTGGGATCCATTGGCCTTGCCCTCTTCGGTACTTCTTCGTTGTGTTTCTGTCCTGGAAGGGTCGCTGGGTTGATGGGAACAAGTGAGTCGTTTAGTAGCCACGGACGAGAGCTGAGACCAACTCACCAGTGTGCCCCCACGCTGACAAGGTTGGTGGCGCATGCACTGGGCGAGGTGAACATTGAGGTACCTTGGCTTGCGCATAGGGCAAGAAGGCCAATCAGGAGCACCACACAATGTCTCGACAGCTGAAAGCACCTCGCTTGACCTTGTTTTGCCCGTGGAGCGCTTTGTTTTAGGCAGGCTGTGTTGGGTAGTCTCAGAGGATGAGGGACCCCGGTGTAAACCACCCGAACTAGTAGGAGGATCATTCTTTGGGGACACCGAATTTGGGGTTCCTAAGTTTCAGAGACGGGATACCGCTGCAAGATGCTATGCAAAGAACACAATTTTGCTTTGCTTGACTCTTGTGCGGTTGGAGGTTCACACAGGATACGCAGTGTTCGCAAATTATTTCTAAAGTCCAAAGTTTTGGGCTTGCTTTTGTGATTCAGGGAGCTGGACTTTCCGATTCTTGAAAGAACCATCTATGGTGATGGTTGTCATTGAACTATCATTACCATGATGACTATCATTTATTAAGGGGGCCTTGACATCATGGTGGGTGCTGTCCGGCACTTAGGGTCGCAAAGGCCCAGCTGCTGAGCCGGGACCCTCTACTTATACTTGCTGCTGCTCCTGGCTAACATTTTCCATCTTTCTAGGCGGCAGTGGGAGGCAAAAGACAGCTAACCTTGACACCATAAACCTCCAAAAGTTAATGCCCCAACCCTTAGAACCCTGAACGCCGACAACATAAACCTCGCATCGCGCATCCATACCTAGAAGATCAGGGACTTATCGAGTAGGCTTACATATGCGGTATTTAGAAACACTTAGAACTCCCAAAGTCGTACGCATACTCAATCATAAGTTCATAGCAATAATGGCAGTACTCAAAACAATAGGTGTCCTGAGTCCCCCGATGCCTTAAGCAGCGTTGCCAGTCAGCAATGCGACGTGTTTGTTTTTGGCGTCTGGTTTTATAAGAGAAGCCCCAGAAGGCATACTCCTTGACTAAAGGCTATTGATCTCTCTGCGAGACTTACTATCTCTGCACAAGACACACTGAGCGGGATTTCAAAAGGTTAATACATATTAATACAGCGAACTCTATTTCTATCAACCCAACCCCTAAACCCTAAAGGGAACTCCAGAAAGTTGGAATATGGATTAATGGTAGGATCCCCTATAATTTTCCTTAAAGGGGTTACGATAATGATATTCCAACTTTCTGGCTTCTACTGTAAACGCCTCTGCTAGATTGTCCGAGTTTGAGGGCCGAATCACCCAGGTTGGACTCTGATCAAGCCGCGCCTGCTTCGTGCGTTTGTGCGTGTCGAAACCCAAACCCTAAAACCCTACACCTAAAGCCCTCAACCCCTAAAGCCCTAAACCCGAAAGCCATGAACCTAAAATCCCTAAAGCCCCCACCTAAACCCCTACAGCCCTATAGTCCCTGATAGCGAAGGCTTGGTCCTCAGAGACCGTCCTTGCGATCAAGCAGCGCGCCCACGCGCAGCTGGAAGTGTGCCGAACCTCAGAAAGGGTTTAGAGTGTATGGCTGCGATAGAAGGTATGTATATATATATATACACGTAATTATATATATATATATATATATATATATATATGTAGCTGTGTATATATATATATACACATAGATAGTTTAGGAATTCGGTATTATAATGTTTGTTGAAAAACTGTTGGGACTAGGGATCATAGGGTTTAGGGCTTGGGGGTCCTCCAGAAAACCAAACACAACATTTTATGCTGTGGTTTAGGGTTTAGGGAAGAGTGTACGGCTTCGGTCGAGATGAGTGTGGGTCGTAGACTGGCTAGACTTGAGTCCAGTTACAACAAGCGAAGAGTAGGGTCTATAAGGTCCTTGACAAGACATCTTCGTTTCAAGGAGTCGGTGAGGTTGTTGATAAGAGTTGTTTACAGTCGAAAGAAGAGTTTATGAGGCATTGATAACGAAAGACTGAGACCTGTGGGGAAATTTGACAAGGGGGTTGACAAGATTGCACATGTTTTCTTACAAAGGTTGAGGTGGTGTTATAAAGGTTTCCTGCAACCCTAAACCCTAAACGCTTATCCATCAACTTTGGTGATGCATTTTCGCATAAGCACATGCTGAAAAGGCACAGAAGCTATGAGCCAAAAAGAGTCTACCTTTGGGCATTTGGGACAGTCAAAGCCAAACGAGGGAGATTCCAGAAACCCTAGTCTTTGTGAGGACCCGCATGGTTACGTGGCCCTAGTTCTAATGATGTGTTAAAGCAATTGCTTGGCATGTAGTTGGAGGTTAAGTCTGGAGAGGTTTTGAGTCGGTTTGCATGTAAAGTAGCACAAACTAGTCATATACTTGTAGCTGGAGAACTGGAAACTGTCGCGGCTGGCCCCAGAAGCCTTACTACATGAGTCCTTAGATCCCTAGGGTACAGGTGGAGCCGGATCTAGGGGTCAAGGGTTCCCAGTAGTTCCTTTTGGGGGTTAATATTTAGAATTTTACGGGGTTTCCCCACAAAGGGAACTACTATGGGGCCTCTGGGTCAGTTTAGGAGTGAAGTCAGAAGCTGTTGTCTTTCGAGTCGTTGCAGTTGAAGCGAACCTATCATCTCAGCCAGAAGTCGCAGGTTACGTAGATTGTCGTTCTTCATTGCAGTGAGACGCGGTGTCCCGAAACGACTGCATTCTGACCTAACGCGGATATGGGAGTTTCCTAAAAATTAGGGGTGCCTCATTTTGAGATCCTTTCAGCAAGGATTTAGGGCACTACATTGGTAGGGTACCCCATTTTCGCGAACTCCCATATGATTAACCCAGATTCTCAGATTCCCACGAGCCAGAACCATCTTCCCAAGAACGGTGGCTGTTGCCCTGAAGGTGGTGCCGGTTTGCGGATGCCTGCAGTGAGGAAGGCGAAACCGAAGCCCACTTTCCTGGGGATCATTCCCTGCGTTCTTGTTAAGGAAATTAAACTAAGTTACTACAATTGGGATCTACAGTAGATAATATGGTCCTCGTGAGCTAATTTTCAGTTTCATTGCAATAATAGCCCAAGGAGGATCAATCTCAGACTTTATATCTATTTCTGCTGTTGATCCAAGGGACTGGCCCACCGCCTTCTTGGATGCAAGATAAGAGGGCCTTTGTGGACCATTCCCTGGGTTCTCGTTCAGGAAATTGAACTAAGTTACTACAACAGGGATCTACAGTAAACAGTATGGTTTCTGTATTATGGTAAATTAAATCCCTTAACCCCTAAACCCGTATAGAATAGAACCCTGAATGGAACCCGAAAGTATGGAAACTCAAACAACAATCCCAGGAACCTAAACCCTTCACAAGAACCCACTTGGAGGGGCAGGGGACTTAGTAAGTAGGGTTATAAGTAGGGTTATAATTGGGGTAACTCCAGTTAGGGTGCTTATAACTTTACTTATAACCTACTTACTACGTCCCCTGCCCCTCCAAGCAGTTCCTCGGTCCCCCTAAACCCTAAACCCTAGCTAAACCCCTAAACCCTAAACCCTAGGGCCCTTAACGCTTAAACCCTGGAGCCCGAAACCCTAAACCCTCGTTGCCGCCAGGCGCCGCTTCCTCTCTGCCTACTCTGGCGCACAGCCGCCTCCATGCAGCCGGGAGTGGTGACTGGGTCCGATGATGGGGGAGCACTTTTGTGTATATGTGAATCTATATCTGTATCTATTTCTATACCTATATCTATATCTATATCTATATCTATACCTATATCTATATCTGTATCTATATATATATATGTATATATATATATATATATACTATATATATATATATACATCGTCTCTACAGACGTCCATGCAGGAACGGTGGTATTCAAGACGCTAAGGTGGCCTGGAGTATGATGGCCGCAGTAGGTATAATAGCAGCAGCACCAGCAATAACAACCGGAAGGATTGCTGCCATGTGCACAGTAGGAAGGGCAATAGGAGGAGGAGGCACCACGCCCGAAATCATCCAAGACACACGCGCGCACACACACACAAACATAACACATGTGCATTGATATTTATGCAAACCTCGCTCTCTGCCTCTCTCTCTGTGCACATATGAATGTTGGCAAATGTGCATGTGATTTGTATACTTATGCGCACATGGGTGTGTGCGTACATGCAAGTACAAAAACACGGACCAACACACGAACAAACTCTTACATACATACATAGTTCCTGATGCATCAGTCAGTCAGTCATTCAGTTAGTCAGTCATTCAGACAGTCAGTATCTCTGTGTCTCTGTGCGCGTATAGACAGGTGATGGCACGGTCCTGCCGCACCCACTCGATGAGCGTGCGAGTCTGGCTAAGTGTGGGCTGCAGGCAGGACCTGAAGTTCAGAAGTGTCGTGGGTTGAGGATTCGGGGGTTGGGCTTGGGGTTCTAAGGGGTTAGGTTCAGGGCTTCACTCTTTCAATCCTTCAATAAGGAGAGCGTAACTCTTTAGTAATTAGTATGGTTTCGACAGACTCTAGAACCGAGAGCCCCAAGGTTTTAAGGCAAAACCGTGAAACCCTGAAGCCCGAAAATGAGGGTTTAGGGTTCAGGGTGTAGGGTTTAGGGTCTAGGGTTCCTAAACCCTAAACCTTAAACCGTATAGGGTTTAGGGTCTAGGGTTCCTAAACTCTAAACCCTTAACCCTAGACCTTAGGGCCCTTCAGACACCGTGCTGCAGGACGGAGCAAAGCTGTTCCTGCGCGCCACCTGAGCCCCAAAGGCGGCTCATGGTTTTTTTACCCAACACCCTGCCTTATGCTACCAAAACCTACTTCTTTGTGGCTCTTAGCAGAAATTCCTGTAGAGAGTTTGTATGGACCATACAGAAGGTACATTTGTGTAGAGAGGGTAGTCCCTAAACCCTGTTGGGGGTTCAGGGTTTAGCCGGTGGTTTGGCGTCCGGATCCTTAAACCTTCGAGATTGATGCAGGTTTACTTGGAGGTTCATGGGTAGTTATAAGTAGGCTTATAAGTACCCTAAGAATTTGGGTTATCAGTATGGTTACCCTCCTTATAACCCTACTTAAAACTACCCATGAACCTCCAAGTAGACCCTAAACTAAACCCTATACCCTTATAGAATCCCTGTAGATCCCTTTAAAGGGACCCTTAAAGGAACCCTTAAAACTACCCGTGAAGCTCCAAGTAAGGGTTTCCACCCGGGCGTAGATCTAATCGGGGTTTTAGGGTCTGAGGATTCAGAGTTGCAGCAGCCACGGTTTAGGGGTTTAGGGATTTGGGTTTAGGGTTTAGGGTTTTGGGTTAGACTCCTACTAATGGAGTAGGTAACCTTTAACTTTTCTGGGGTAGGATACTCCCTATTTTACTCCCAAAGGTTAACTTTTACTTCTCCAGGATACTCGACAAGCACGTACAGCAGTCTCAACAGACGTATTATGAATGTGAACGTTTTGTATCATCCCTGATGGGCCTGAGCCGTTGGAACAGGCTTATATTTAGGGTTCAGGGTTATAAACCGTGACATGGCCTCCTAGGTCGTTACGGAACTTCATGTCGGATCCGTCGGGTCCTCTATGACAAGAGTACAACTTCTGTTTGTAAAGTACAGTTTAGTATAGTGCAGTATAGTACTACAGCACTTGTCTATGTTTGTTTCCTTCTTTCGGAGTTTACCTCCTGGCTCGATTTCCAGCTGACGTTGGTTCCCGCATCGACTGAGAGCGAGAGAGAGACAGAGAGAGAGAGAGAGAGATAGAGAGACAGAGAGAGAGAGAGAGAGATACATATATATATATATATACCTGTATGATATCTATATCTGTGTATATATATATATATATATGTCCATGTCTATATCTACATCTGTGTCTATTATAGATATATGTATGTATATACATACCAATAAACAGAAAGATTGATAGAATCTAGTCCAGTTGAATCTAACCATGAACTTCCAAGTAACAGTCGGTACTTCGGGCTGTGAAGCCTAAGCTCCAAAGACATCTGCGAACTCTTTTCTGAATTGCTCTCAGGTGGCCACAACCCGCAATCGGCTGTGGTCGAAAAAGCGTGTGCTGGTGTCCGTGCTTTTGCCTTTGGCATCGTTGAAGGATTAATGCACCGTCACCCGAAGCCCCAAGCCCTCAATTCAACCCTAAGCCCTTGCAACTGTGCTCACCAACTTGCTTTGGGCTGGCAACTGCTGTGTAAGAAAGGCACAAGAAAAAGGAATCATCATAATATGGAGGCATGAATATTTATCAAAACTATTCATCGGGGCTCATTATAATTCAATTATGACATACCTCAGAACCCTAGAATCATTAAGGCCTCTACATACCCTATGTAAACGGCCAAAATATAGAAAGGTAAATGTGAGGTCCCTACATCCGAGGCCTGGAGATCGATCCGGTTCGGCATGGCACGAGTTGAAGGTTTTCAGCAGAAACACGTAGTCGCATCCCGCCATACAGTCCCCATACCGGTAGGATTGGGGCGTTCGGTTTAGGGTCTATGCCCCACAGCCTATGGTTAGGACTCGGAGCTCATGACACGTCTCCTCAAATTCGCCGCGCTGCTACGATCTGCACTCGCCGACGGGCCGTTGGTGACCACGCCGGTGGAGCTCTCAGGGAGGTCGGTCAGTCCAGGGCGAAGAGTATTCCCTTGCAGTCCCCAAAAATGTAGTTTGTTCGATTGCTTGCTGATCTATCTATCTGGCAGCTTGTTCGTTTGTCTAACTATAGGTGGGTCAATAGCATCCAGCGATGTATCGATCTGTCGATCCATCTGCATGTGCGCGAAGAAGGCTCTGAGAATCTGACTGCAGCTCGATGCGCCAGGAGGAGGGGACCTACCTTGAAAGTGGCCCTGAACACATGCAAGTGTTGTGTTTTAGGGTTGAGGTATATATATATATATATATATATTGGCTGAGAATCTCAGAGCATCACCTGCCTGACCGTCCTTTGCGGCATGAGCCGGAGGTTTGTGGTTTAGGGAGCACACGTTGAAATCGTCAGTCAACTCTGGCATCGTATACTTAGAGGATCATGGGACTTAGTAAGTAGGTTATAATTGGGGTTATAAGTCCCCTAAGTGGGATTATCCTAATTAAAACCTACTTATAACCTTACTTACTAAGTCCCATGAGCCTTCAAGTAAGATCATGTACTGCAGCCAGTAGTGCTACGATTTGCCGCGATGCTGGTATGTCTATCACTTTCCCCGGCCGACTTCCCAAGCCCGGATGCAAAAAGCGACGGTGTGTTCCAAAGTGATAAGAGACGTTAATCGGCTAATGTAGTGGTGCTGAAACTCGGGATACTGTAGGAACCTGAGTAAGCAACCCTAAACCCTATACCTTAAGCCCTAAACCCTATACCCTGCAGCCGCCAAAAAGTGGTAACCCTAGCCTTCAAAGACAGCAGCTTGCGCTTCGTGCGCCGAGGGCCCCGAGGTCCCAGATGACGAGCCACCCGGATGAAGGGACGGTTAAAGGTTTAGGGTTTAGCGGTTTAGGGTTTAGGGGTTTAGGGGTTTAGGGTTTAGGGTTTAGGCCTTTGCGTACTTGGCTTGAGAGGCTCTTGTTCACGAATAGCTTTCGGATGCGTTTGGACTTTGGAAAAAGCAACCATCAGCCCGAGCCCGGGCAGAATACCAAACATCTCTCAGGCTCCTATGATTTTGATGATGTAAATCCTGCATTACCGTAAGGACCCTAGACTTTGGGAATTATGGTATATTCCTTATTGCGGGTAATGCAGGGTTTGTATCATCAACAGTATGATGTGACGGTTTAGGGTGTTGACGATGGTGCCTAGGAGTTGCCCCAGGCCAAAGAAGGCCAGTTTTTGTTCATTCTCCAACCCGAATCCGACGGCAGTAAACTTTGGAGGCTGCACGGATACTGCAGCAGCTCAGTCAACAAAGTTTGCCGAGTCATTTCCAGAGACTCTGCCCCCAAGCCCTAAACTTTTGGATTTTAGGTGTCCCTGTGTTTAAGATACTGGCACAGCATAGCCTCGCAGCATTGGTTGTTCACCGCGCATATGAGAGCTTATAGCCCAGACGGCCCAAAGTCACCAGCCCCTAAACCCTAAACCCTCAAAACCCCTAAACCCTCAGCCCCTAAACACCTAAACCCGCTGTGGGAACTCAGAACTTGCACATCTGGTGGCACGTGCCAGTTGTTACGCTAACGAATGGACCAGGATCGCTACAGACCTTGCCAGGCTTTGTCCGAGTGTGAGTGTCAAAACACCTAAACCCTCCACCCCTAAACCCTAAACCCCAAGCCTTCAAACGCCAAAACTTCAAGAAAGCCTGCCTCGAACTTCGAATGGAACAGCTTCGCCTGCAGAGTCCTAGTCGTGAGAGCCCAGACTCTACCAGGAAGTTCATGGGTAGTTTTGAGTAGGGTTCTCAATAGGGTAACTATACTTTTAACTTTTATTATATGAGGGGCCTTTTCCTTCACCCCACTTGCACCTACTGGTACCCATGAACCTCCAAGTCCAAGCCAGAAAGGTTTGTGATTCTTCCGGGCTACTGCCAGCCGAATTCGAAAAGTAACAGCCTTTGCTCGGCGTCGAAGCCCTGCTGCAGTTCAGGAACGACAGTCAGGGTATGTACCTCCTTCCGAAAATTGTCGCCCCTGATCAGCATGTCCAGTCGTCGAAGACCCCGCTCAGTTGAGATGGTGTTTAGGTTTAGCGTGTTGGGCTCAAGGTTTAGGGACTGCGAGCGTCGAGACTTTGAAACTTGGTGTGGGGCTTGCAGGGTCGATTCCAGGCGTTGAAAGTTGGAGCTTGTGGGGCTTGTTTGTCCAGCTTTTCAGGTTTAGGGTTTGGGTTTAGGGTTTAGGGTTTCTCCGGCTCCCTCGCCACCGGAGCCCCTCCTTGAAGCAGAGAGCTTCCAAAAGACGTCAAACCATTCATGCAGCGCCAAGCGAAGAGCCCACAGCTTGCCTAAGCCGTGTTATCGACGAAACAGAAAACAGGCGAAGAAGCCCGTTGCGATTTTCGGTTTAGGGGCGTTTGCTAGGGGTTTTAGGCTTGAGGGTTAAGCTGCCTATTTTCGGAGTTCGCTGCAGTACCTTGAGCATTAAAAATCCACCTTTCCAAAAGGCTGCTGTTCGCCAAAGCATTGCAAACGTTCCACAGACTTAGGCAGCCAAACTTGGGATAGTGTTGCGCTGGGTTCCCAAAACCCAGATCAACACCCAGACTCGCAAGGATGATTTGAATGAGAGACGGAGAGATCCTGAGCCCTTCACCAGTCATTGCAAGTCTTCAAACATGCGGGTGCCGGGTCAACCGACACATGAAAACTTTTCATCCGACAAGGTTTGGACAACCAGGTTTGCATCACCCTATGTGGACTTCGTCCTGGCCTTGCGGGAGGAAGAAGATCAAATTGAACTCAAAACACTCAAGTGCCAGAGAGAGAGAGAGAGAGAGAGAGAGAGAGAGAGAGCAGTCCCAAGGAACAGCGATGGCCCTGGGCTGGCTGAAACGTGTGAGGGCACCTACGCCGGGGAGGCGCTGGGGATCCAAAATGGTTGCGATGCAACTAGAGGTTGAATTATTAGTAGTAGCATCCCTTTTTCAATCGCCCGTTTTTGGTTGCACTTTATTACTAAGCCGGACCGCCAGTTTGACCCGCCAGCTTGAATATTCTGGAACAGCCTATTGCCTTTGCCACCCAGTCACCCGACCGTTTCACATAGTTTTCCCCATAGGCTCGTATCACCAGTGAGCATTGGGGCTCCTCCGCAACTAAGACATTAGCATACTGTTAGCCCCGGGCAGAGTCCACAACATCATGTGCGCTACAATTGCTGCCCGTAGCTTGAAACTTTCGGCCCGGGGATGTTTGACTCCATTTCCCCCTATAAACAACATTATTTTCGCTTTCAGGCCCCAAGGATTGCGCTTCAGGAAATCATGTATAATTCAGTTTCATAGTGTAATTAACTAAAAAGTGGTCTTATCGTGCGAAGTCAAGCTGAAGTATCTACTTCTCAATATCAGGTACCTGTTTCGTAGGGTTTAGGGTTTAGGTTTTGGTTACTCAGTCAAGATTTCAGGTCGAGGTCTGGCGAGACTTGCGTCCAAAGGCGAAAACAGGTTGTTGTTATAATAAAGCCCTAAACCCTAAACCCGAAAAAGGAGCCCTTAACAAAAAAAAAGTAAACCCAAAACCTGTAGTCAGTATCACTTAGGTTTCTATGGTTTCTTTGGTACGCCAGAAAGGCTTTCATTGCAGTTTGGGACGGTTGTAGCGATGATTCGATGAAAGCATCTGCAGTAACGGTTCTATATGTAAACCCTAAACCCGTTGTGAGTGCTGAAACCCTAGAGACCCTAAACTGCAGCAAGCGACTAGCTGCGGTCGTAGAGTCTCTGAACGGATTGGTTTGGAGCACTTCCCAAGCTTCGTTGATGTCTAACACTGAACCCACAGCCTCCAAAACCTCTTAGTTAAGGAATACAGCTTAGATTATAATAGGCTCCACAACTTCTTAATTCAGGAGTACACCTTAAATTATAATCAACAGGCTCCAAATGATTCAAGGCATAGTCCTTCCCTAAACCCTAAACCCTAAACCGTTTAAGGGATTTTGGAGGCTCTGGGAAGTGGAGGCTTCCGTCCCATTGCTTCGCCTGAGCGGGGCCAAAGCCCTCTGCACTTAGCCCGAACATCCTGACCCAGCGAGCCCAATACCCTTGAACTAAGGAATATGGCTTAGTTTAGGGTTTAGGGTTTAGGGGTTTAGGGTTTAAACCATGATATTATATGAAGCCCCTAATGATTTAAGGCATGTTCCTTAATTAAGGGGTATTGGGCTCTCTGGGGAACTCATGCCTGAAGCACTGAACACATCCATGACTCTCCCACAACACACTGGAGCCCTCACAAGCGGAAGCCCCAAACCCGAAACTCCTACCCAGGAACCTGACACAAACCCCTAAACCCTAGCCCCCTGGGCCCCTAAACCCCTACGCTTAACCCTAAGCCCCTAAACCCTTAAACCCTCGAAACTAAACCCTACACCCTAAACCCCTCAACCCTTAAACCCTCGCCCCTAAACCCTAAACTCAACCCTTTAACCCTCGCCCCTGCTGATTTAGTGTATGCAGGAGCGTCATTGCACTTTAAAAAAAAACCAAGCCCAGCTGCACAAGTCGCAGGACGTCCCCATCGGTGGAGACTGGAGCCGCGCCCCGGCGAAGGGTTTCCGGAGCCGACTCGTCTTGAACATCGGCTTCAGAGATCTTATAGAACTCGATTAAGAAACCCTGGGCCTATAACCCAAAAATAATAGGATTCATACAGGGAAGTCTAATAAAGGCCCAAGGTTTCTTAGAGTTTCGGATGGTTTAATAAGGGTGCTTTGGAGTTTAGGGGGTTAAAGTTGAGGGTTTTGAGGTGTATAGAGTTTAGTATAGGGGCTTTGGGGTTAGGGTTTAGGTGTTTGGAGTTAGGGGTTTAGGAGTTAGGGTTCAGGGGTTTAGAGTTTAGCGGTTCAGGGTTCGGTCAAGATGATTGTAGGTCGTAGACTGGCTAGACCTGAGTTCAGTAGCACAAAGAGGGGTTCAAGGTTTGCTGCAGAAGGTTTTGTGCGCAGTTGTACCTCTAGTGCATGGTGTTGACATTGGATATCACACGCACTGCCAAGCTTCTATGGCTTTTGACTTTGCCCTCAGGTGAGACAGGCTTTGCCTACTTCCACCCAGATTCCTGCGATGAGGCCAGCCTGCTTGAGAGTCGATGCCCTAATCTCGGGGCCGAAATAATCACCAATAATACTATTTTTAGGAGGGGGTCCTTGTTATGATTATACATAGTATAATGGGCCCCAAAGCCCTATTCAAATTCTAATTATTGAGGCGCCTACATGTATATAACCCCTTTTGCCTAAACCCCTAAACCTTTCCGACAGGACCAGCCTAGTGGTGTTACTCGTCTTTCTTGAGCAGACTAAGACCACATTTATATATGTGTTTTGGTATTTGTGCATCAGTTTGGTATTCATATCTCTGTTTCGTTGCTTCCCGGAAGCATGGTGGAATCATGGGGGTGGCTTCATGCGTATGGTTTTTTTCTTGGGACTTTGCGTGGGTTTAGGGCCTAGGTGGTCCCTTGTGCTAGCGCGGTTTCGTCGATTCTATGCCAGGTTGCCAGACTCCGAAGTTTAGACTTCTGAGCTCTAACCCGAAGGCTCCATGTAGTTATATAGTATATACTTAGGCCTTTAAGTACCTATATTTAAGGCCTAAGTACCGACTACATGGGTACATGGAGCCTTTGGGTAAAGCCAAGCCAAACCGTGCCCTTATGGGTTGCAGTCTACCTTCCGTGACGAGATTTACAAGAAAAAAAGCTTTGGGACTCGGGATACCACGATCTTGCTTTGGAAGCCGGTCCACACCCCTAAATCGCTAGTAGTAGAGTAGGTACCCTTTAACCTTTTTTGGGTAGTATAGTCCCCATATAACCCCTATATACCCAAAAAGCTTAACCTTTAGTTCCCCATGATACCCGACAAGTAGGAATCGCAACCCATTCATTCTAGACCCCATTCTTGGCACGAAGGTGGTAGATGGGAGTTTCCGAAAATTAGGGGTACCTTATTTGGGGTCCTTATAGTTATAAGGATCCTATTATTTAGGGTACTATATTTGGGTCCCCTATTCTCGGAAACCCGCAGATTTCTTCATGCTGTCACCCGTACAGGCCTGCGCCAAAGCGCGTTGCCTCGCAGATACGAACTGTGGAGGTGGGGCTTAGGAGTCTCACAGGCTAGGGGCTTAGAGGCCGTCACGATTCGTGTACTCAAAGGGGAAAAGGAGGGACCCTGCCCTATAAGGGCTATATAATGGGTATATATAGCTATATGAAGGGTATCTACCTAGGGGTCCTAAGTAAGGGTCCCTCCTTGTACCCTTGGACTTAAGACACAGGAGGAAGCTGCATCAGGAGGCTTGATAAGCGGAAAGCTGAAACTGAAAGAACCACGGCGAAGTCCTTCCTAGTCTTCACTCTTCGAACATGGAGCATCCGCATATGTTTTTAGGCAAAGCCGAGGAGCTATTGTTTCGGTGGGACACACTGGCCGCATGGTGAGGCAGAGTTCCAGCCAACAAACTCAAGCCACACCCCCAACGAAAAACACAAAAAAGCACAACCCTAGAACGCAAATCCTAAGCGCTGCAGGATTGACGGTGGCCACCTTTCCCTTCGACTCGCGAAGGAGCTTCCAAGTCTAGCGGCGGGCGCAGCTTGCATGTTCGATCTTAGAGAACTTGTTAAACTAGGAACCCGATTAAGGAACCTTGGGCCGTTATTAGAAGTCCTTCTATGAATCCTACTATTTTGGGGTTATGGGCCCAGGGTCCCTTAATCAGGTTCCTATACTATACCCATGGCTTGAAGGTCTCGACATGCTTGTTAGGGTTTAGGGTTTAGGGTTTCATTAAACTCGTACAAAGCCTGGCCAAACTGGGTTTAGGGGTTTAGGGTTTAGCGAAACCCTGCAGAGCCCTTCCCGAGAGTTTGGCGAACACGCTCGATTGCTTCGCAGCACAGGGAAGCAAAGCCCGCCTCCAAAGTAATTTAGGAGCCAAGCGAATGCGGCGACGCCCAGAACCTCATAATACCGTAGTAGAGTAATAATATAGTATATATAAATATCGTACACGCTTATTATACTCTAGTCTAGCATAGTATAGGGCATTACAGAAAAGCGTAGTCGTACACATAGTAGTATAGGAGCGGGGCACATGAGAGGAGAGTAGGGAAGAGGTGGTTATCGTCGACGTAGTCGTAGTAGTCGCCGTAGTAGTACAGTAGTGGTGGTAGCAGCAGCAGCAGCAGCAGCAGCAGTAGTAGTACATGGTAGAAGCAGCAGAGGTAGTTGCCATGGTAGTCGTAGTGGTAGTCGTAGCCGTAGTGGTAGTCGTAGTAGTAGTCGTAGTAGTACTAGCAGTAGCAGTAGTAGTAGTAGTAGCAGTAGGAGTAGTAGTAGTAGTAGTAGTAGTAGTAGTAGTAGTAGTAGTAGTAGTAAAAGCAGAAGTGGAAGTATCAGATGTAGTCGCAGCCATGCGGCAGTACATTCTCAGAAATCGGCTTCAAACCCTCGACATGCCCGAACCTGGCAATCCTCTACACTTATAGAGGATCATTAAGTAGGTTATAATTGGGGTTATAAGTCCCCTAAGTGTGGTTATCCTAACTATAACCTACTTATAACCTTACTTACTAAGTCCCATGAGCCTTCAAGCACCCCAAGTCCTAAGTCACAGGCTCCTTGAGGTTTAGGGATTCGTCGTATCAGGCTTCAGGATTAGTGTTTTCGGTGAGTCAAAAAATCTTCAAACCCCTAAACCCTGATACAATGAACTCTTAACCTAAACCCTGATCCCTAAACCTAAACCCCAAACCCAAACTCTAAAACCAAGCTGCAGGACGGCTGCCCTTAAGTCCAGCGTCTCGGGCTCCACCGAGTGGGAAGGTGCTTCATTTCTTTGCTTTACAGGGGCCTTAGGGTTTAGGGTTTGGGGTTTGGGGTTTGGGATGGTTTAGGGGCACATGCACTTGGAGGTTCATGGCTAGAGAAGAAGTGGGTTGCCAAAGGCCACAAATAGACTTAGAGTACTTAAAAGCCACTTATAACTACCCATGAACCTCCGAGTAAGGCTTCTTGGTATTTGCTGTTGGAGGTTCGATTGGGATATATATGGCTTTCTCGAACTTTTGGTGTTTGGAGGTGCAGGGGTTGAGAAATGTTTCGTCTTTAGGGTCGGCGTTTGGCACACAGGATGCTCAGAGTGTCGAGCATTGGATAAGGCGCTCACAGTGCTTAGTTGAAGGTGCCCGACTTCGAAAGAGATATCTGAATGCCGAGGTCGGAGTCATTGCCAATTTTATTTCACAGGCTTGTTTACTGTTATCATATATGTATATTATACACCACCCACAAACCATGTTAAAAAGTGGGAGGCTCCCTCGCAATACAGTTTTTCAAAGAACGGTTAGCTAGTTATCGCTGGGTGCTCGGGTTTAGGGTGCAGGGCCAAGGGCAAGGGGGTTTACAGCAGAAGCCCAAAAGTTGGAAACCCCAGAGCCTCAATCCTTAAGAGTAATGTATAGGGAATCCCAGCACTATTTGGTCTTAATCCAGTTTCCAACTTTATGGGGTTTACTGTAGGGTTTAGAGTTTTGGGTTGCTTTGGGAAATTCGGCCAGGAAAGCGCGCTAGATTCTTGTATATAGTCGTAGGAAGCAGCTTCTTTGGAACTGCTAGCCTCCAAGTCGAAACCACACAAACTTCTGTGTACTATAAGAATTACCAATACTAGTTTGGTGGCTCCATATTATAATCATAGTTTAATGGGCCCCAAATCCTTATTCCAATTACTAAGGCCCCATATCTATTTGCTACCTTCCTGCACAGGCTACGAGTGCTTGCGCAAAGCGACGGGGGTGGCGACATCAAGCGGTCAGCCGCTTGCCCCGTTCTTGGCCGCCCTGCCGCTTCTCGCCAGGCTAATAGGGGTCGGAATCATTGCATATACTGTTTCTTGCGGTTCCTTACTATATGTATACTAAGCTACGATATACCCTAAAACCCTATTCTAATTGTGGAGACCCCGATATTAGTGCTGGACTTGGCGATTTGAGGCTCTGAGCCCGGACAGGACAGCATTTGCTTTCCTTTTTCGGGAGAGCTGTTTCACTTGCGGCTGCATCCTAAACCCCCAAAGCCCGATAATGTAGAACCCTACGTCTGCAAACCCTAGATCCCCAAAGCCGAAGGCCCTTGATCTTTAAAACCGTGGACCCGAAATTGTAAACGAAAGCCTCTACCCCCAAACCCTGAACCCCCGAACCCCTAGACTCCTAAACCCTGAACCCCCAAACCTAACATCCAGAAGATCACCCTAAACCCTGAACCCCCAAACCTAACATCCAGAAGATCACTTGGTTTTTGCAGTAGGCGGAAGCCTCTGCCGAGCGCCTTCTAGAATCGAGAGACCTGCTTGATGTGTGCCGGGGCTGTCCCTTAAAGCACAGTGTAGGGTTTGGGAAAATCTGCATCTGGGGTTTATGCTTCAAAGTCGTGGTCGAATATCTGCAGGCGTCAAGATACCGTGGAGGGTTGGACTAGGCTAAACTGTAGAGACGTGATGAACATGTACAAATAAACATATATATATATATATACATATGTATGTATATGTATAGATACCCACCCCTCGAGCCAAAAGTAGGCTTTTGTTTTCAAGAAGGTCAACCTTGCGATCTACAGTTTCATAGCGATTCGGCCATTCTCAGAAGATAGGGCTCCCTAATACAGTAAGATTGGGCCCTCAGAAAAGCACCGCCTAAAAGGAGGATGGCCCTTCTAAAGGATCTCTCGCTTCGGAAAGGCGGAAGCAGACGAAGCAGCAAGATTGTGAGTCCTCGCAAAACAGTGCGTTGAAGACTGTTTCTGTGCATTGGGCCGCCCAAAAATTTGTGAGTCTAAGCGTCAGGAACCATTGAAGAGGCATATTATATATATATATATATATATATATAGATATATAACCATTAGACCCCTGAGCTGGTGGCTTCTCAGGAAGTCAGGGATCCTCCTTCATTTTCTTAGCCGAATCAAGCCCTAAGCCCTTAACCAGCTTGCCACGCAAGGTCCACAGTCATTCCGAACGGTTTAGGATTTAGGGTTTTACCCTCAATGCAGGCTGCGCCCTTGCTAGGTAGGAGGTAGGAGGGAAAAAAGGCCTGCCGCGTGCCCTTAAGATGATGTGGCCTAGGAAGCAAACGCGCTTTCCATGTTCGCTCCAGGCTCCTCGGTGCACATGTTCCTTCAGGTTGAAAGAAACTGACTCTCAGACTCAGCTTTCCCTAGTCTAACTTCCAAGCCTTGTTCTACTTCCTAGGCTCTGAATCACAAGCCTTGCCCGAAGCTTCATAAACCCTAGCCGGGTTCAAGGGTTGGCCGGCTAATACGAAAGATAGGTTGAGGCTTTAGAGTTTAGGCTCCACGTGTTCAGGAAGGGGGGGCGTTCAACCCTCGACCCTAAACACGTAAAGAAAAAGGGTCGTTTAAAAGAAGAAAAGCCCTTTATGTGTTTGAGTGCTTTGCTGATGCTTAAATCCTTCGCGGCTCGCGGCAGCTTGCCGACACGGGAGCATACCCCTGGGCCATGGACTGCTGGCAGATGAGGGAGCTTGCTGCTGCTACAGGCGGGACTTGTTGCCCAGGTTTTGCCCATAGTTAAGCTCCATTGTAGTTCCTTCTTGTGGTCCATGTTTAGGATCCTATAAGGTACTCCGCAAAAAGAAACTACGGGCTTTAGGGTTCGATGGTTTTGGGGCCAGAATCATTGATAACAGTCTGAATTCGGGATCTCAAAGTTATTACAGTTTAGACTTTTGAAACCACGAAAGTCCTAGACTAACCTGAAGCCTCTATAATACAGACCACTAGCATGTTGGGTGAGGTCCCACCATTAAGATCTCTGAAGAGAGGACCAGACCAGCAGAGGGATCTCAATATGGAGAACTCCGCCACTCCTATTCAAAGCAGTCGTGGCAAAGCCTGCTTCAAGCTTTGAGGCTTAGGTTTAGATCAGGGTTTCAAGTTTAGCGCAGCACAGCAAATACAATCCATCATCACACCTTTGAACACCATGCAGTCCGGAAGAAAGCACAAAGTGGGCTGCTCAACCGGAAGTCATGCCCTCAAGTACTAATTCTGGTGTGGCCTGTAATGCTATTAAATAGCATTACAGGCCACACCAGAATTAGTCTATTATTAATGTCTCCACACACGAAATTCAAGCAAGCCCGCTGCACACCACACCGAAACCAGAGCCTTCCTACACCCCAAAGTTTGTCAAGGCTTTCATTTGAGGCGCAAATTTACTTAAGTCATACTGAATACAGCCTTAAACGCTAAAGTTTGCAGTTTAAAGAGTTTTTTTGGATAATGGGCCGGCATGGCCCCTTTAGGCGCAGTAGCGGGGTCGACACCTGAGCTCCAAAAAGCAAGATACCCTATTTAATACAGAAGACAGGATAAGGTTTGTTTATGGCATGCCTGAGGGTCCCCACAAGACCCTGGTCCTCTTATGTAGGTCGCCAAACTCTACAGAACCCGTCTAAGCCCAAAAGGTATTCTGAAGAACCCGAAGCAAAACCCTGAATAGCTCTTTCGAACTCTTTTTTTGCAGACGCTGTGAACAAATACTGCAGACGCAGTTTTATGTACATTAACCTATTGAACCATTCAAAACCCGATGTTAAGTACCAGAGTAGGGGCCTGAGTAATTAGAATACAGTAGAAGCCAGGAAGTTGGAATATGATTATCCTAACCCTTCTATGGTAAATTATAGGGTATCCTACCGAGAAACCATATTCCAACTTTCTGGAGTTCCCTTTAGTGTCTGGGGGTATAGTATACTATACGTACAACAAGGAACCTCCAAAACCCTTCTCGAATCATTAAGGCCCGTACATCCCTAAATCCCTGCTAGGGCCCTTATAGTATCCTTTAAAGGAGCCCTGTATTGTACTTTTCAAGGCCCCTATTTGGAGGTTCATGGGTAGTTATAAGTGGGGTTTATAAGTAGGGTAACTATACTTATAGCCCACATTGGGGGAACCATACTTATAACCCATATTAGGGGACTTATAACCCCACTAATAACTACCCATGAACCTCCAAGTAGGCCCTCAACCCTATACCCTTATGTAATCCCTATAGAGCCTTTTACGGGGAATATTAAAGGAACCCGTATAGCTACCCATGAACCTCTAAGTACACTACCAGACCTGGTTCCCTGAAGGCCTCTGGCCGGTTCCCCGGGAGGCTCCTCTTCACTTCGGTGTTTGAGTTCCCCTGAGACTTCAATACCCCTTAATTAAGGAATATACCTAGGGCCTAGGGTCCCTTTAAGGGATCTATAGGGCTTAGGGTTTAGGGGGCTCCAATACCCCTTAATTAAGGAATATTCCTTAAATCATATTAGGGATCCTTACTATGATTTAAGGAATATTCCTTAATTAAGGGGTATTGGTCCTTTTACAGTAAACCCCATGAAGTTGGGGTTCTCTTTAAGGGTTTAGGGTTTAGGGCTTAGGGTTACTATAATCCTTAGGGGTTCTGTTTATAGTGAATCTCATGAAGTTGGAAACCGGGCTAAGGCCAAATAGTGCTGGGATTCCCCAAACATTACTCTTAAGGATTGACAACTTTTGGCTTCTACTGTAGGATCTATGAGGGTTCCTTTAAGGGCTCCTATAAAGGATCTAGAGTGCTTGCGGGTTTCGTGGTTTTAGGCTTTCGGGGTCGGGTTTTGGGGGGAACTGACTTTTGGGTTTCCAGGTTTCACGGTTTAGGGGTCGGTTTTTGAGGCAAACTAGATTGAAGCTTCTAAGTTTGAGGGTTAAAGGCACCGGTTCTTTGGGCACTGCACTTTGTTGTCTTCTCACTTCTTATCCTGATCCTTCCGACATGAACCTCACTGTCGGTTCGCGTAACCGACCGATGAGATCCTTCTTGAGCGATTTGTCAATATGGAATGCTTAACTCAGTTTCGGAAGGAGAAGATGAAGTTTGTCAGTTTGGCCATGTTGAGGATTAAGAGTCTATTGGCGGGCAGGGCAGATGGCGGGCTATACTTGGAGGTTCATGGATAGTTTTAAGCGGGGATATGAGGGGCTTAGGGTTCCTTGAGGGGATCCATACTTTTCGGGATTAGGGTGAGGGTTTAGGGTATAATGTGGGGATATCTGCAGGTAACTGCACCTATAACTCTATAAGTGGGGATATCTGCAGGTAACTGTACCTATAACTCATTTTAGGGGGTATAGCTACCCATGAGCCTCCAAGGAAAGTGATGAAATTTGTCGGCCGCTTTTTGATGCACGCGCTTGAACTGCGTCCCCAAAAGAATTCGTTGTGATTGCGCCGACGTAACCGAACTCTTTTTGTAACACCCTTGTATTGCCTCTGCAAACGCCTTGTGAAGAAGCTCTGCGCCCTATAGCCCTAAACCCTGACCCAAAACCGTAAACCCTAACCCTAAGTCCGGAAACGCTGGGGAAAACGAGACGGTGGCAACAGCCCTAAACCTTGAACCAGAACCCGCAACCCTAGAATCAGGAGGCAACAAATGTCCGCATGTCTCCTTCCTGCTTGTTGGCTTGCTGTGAACCATTGGGGTGACAATGTCTCGGAGTCGGTGTTCCGACTGTAACAGGGCGGAAGAAGGGCCTGCAAGCAAGCAAAGAAAAGGCTTCAACCCCAAACCCCAAGCCCTGGATTGTCTGAGTGTGAGCGCTGAAACCCCAAACCCTAAACTTTAAAGCCTAATCAGCTATGTTCCTTCGGCTAATGTGCTGTTCGCCACGTACAGAATCGTCGCCAAGGCTTGTCCGAGTGCGAGTGTTGAAACTTTAAACTTCGGCCTTTAGAAGAACCCTCAAAGCCCTTAAACCACCCAAAAAAACACCAAAAACCTTCAAAGCCCTGAAACTCTACAAACCTCTACAAGCCCTCAAACCTCAAGCCTTTCGAAGAACCCTCCACTCCTTGCGCCCTAAACCCTAAACCCTAAACCTCAGATCGGAGGTTGATGGGCCCGCCAAGAGGACCCAAGGTCCACTTCTACAGCTGC